AATCTGATGTACACTGCCTCAATAAAGTCACCGTACACAATTTAATAACTAGGTGATAAAATAGGTAATGAAAAACTTGCTTGCATTTTTTTGCAAATTCTCCGCACACCTTGACATATAAATAAGATAGCCTCAGTTCGGCTTTATTTAATTTAGTGATGGACGAAATAATTGAAGAGACGATGATACATGGTGAGCCTGAAGGAATAGCCTCTAAAGATTGCATATAATATGAATATTTCAGTACAGAAAACGCAAACTCTAACAATAGCCAAAGAACCAAGAAGTTGTAAACTAATGATTTACATCATACCACAGATCAGGTTATGCGATTGATAGAGTCCTGAAAGAAGAAGTCAGCACACAAATAGTGATAACGTACGTTAATGAAATAAGGGTGGAAAACAACACAATCAAAAGACTTCTCCGAACCAGAGAGATGAAAACATTTCGAGCAATCGGTGGCTACTCTTTGCTAGACCGCATGAGAAGCGAAGGAAATGCCATGTCGGGAGAAAGCCAGAACACAGATTGCCGAAACCCGCAAGAGAAGGAAAACAACATGGAATTAGATCTCCTGGACGACCCTCAAAGAGATGGTACGAAAGCTAGAGTTCAGCATCCTAGTCGAGATTTTGAACTGTTGTAGAAAGATATAAGAGAAAGAAGAAAAGGTACAAATAAAACTAGATACATCCGAAAAATATTTACTTAATTTCGCTCAACTAAATTGTAATGAAGCTGAAAAAGAGTGCACAGTGTTGAAAACAGCTTTTGATGAATCAGACTCGTCAAAGTCTGCAGAGGGGCACATGATTTTAATGATGACCCTAACTCATCATTGTATTACAAGGGGTTAATTCCCTAGACGCGTTGATACAAAAAAATTGTTATCAATTCCGTAGTTAATGAATTTGCTGTTGATTTTGCACAGTTCAATTCTGCGCTCATCAATACAATAACAATATAATATCAATATTGTCGCATATGGAAAAGAAATGTGCTATGGGACATCGAGGAAACCAGGCGGATCCAGGCCAGGATGTTGCCGTAATTCCGATGAAAAAAATTAATGTGACAATTAGAGCAGTCTGTTTGTAACATCGAACTACTAAACATCAGAACTGTAAACCTGTGGCAAGAGACTATACCTAACAAACTGTAACCCACCGAAGGAAGGCGAATTCTATTTGATGGATCAACCCCGGTGTAACAATATAACAAAACGAGATCCACAAAATATACTGCCTCGTATAGAACGTCCTAAAGTTTTAAGTATTTGTAATGAGCGTGCAGTATCAAACAACGTGTGCGAAAACAGCCAAGGAATAAAATGCTATATCCTAAACAGCAATAAGTTCACAAATTATTCAATCCATAAATATAGGTTTATGGTTGTATATTTAAGAAGAAACATTTACATATAAAAAAATAAAGCGCCTAAAATTTACTAAAAAACACATTTTCAAAAACATTAATTTTAGCAAATCAGTAATTTTTTGACTACGTCATCAAATTCTCTATAAAAAAGTGTCTATATAATGTCTTAGTTATAATATAATACTCCACCTATAATAATAAAAAAGATAATTGCACTTGCGGGTTTTACGATATTTTCAATTTTGGCCTCTAGGGGGAAAACAAAAGACGATAGCGCTTTGAGGTTTTCGACATTGGAATTTATTTAAAAAAAGAGATCGAGACATGTAAACTACTTTTTTTCTAACTCTTATAGTTTACGAGATAGCCTATTCGGACATCGAATTTTAACCACCCTGTACATATGTGATTTGCTGCAGTAGGAAATGTTGTGTTTATAGATGATATAATTAGTATATTTCAACAAAATAATGATCCCAACCATACCGCAGAAATCCCATTCCACATCTACAAAATTTAATGAAGAGCAAAATTCGACAATAGATAGTGAAATTACTCAAAAATTGGTCTCTTCAATGTCTAAATGATTAAAAGCAGTTTTTAAAAATAGAATCTATCCCACAGATTATTAATAATATTTAACAAAATTTGTTTTTTATATAAACAATAAGTGGAATTAATATAAACGTGTATGTAACATATAAATGAAACACAACCAGAAGGAAGGACACCTTTACACGTTAAGGACAGGAATAACTGTTTTTTATAGTTTGTTCAGTATTTATTTATAAATTCCAAAAACATGTAACACTGTAATAAATGTTACAGATCAAATTCTTAACAATTTTTTATAAATCTGAACAAGTATTTCAGGTGTATCTTTCTACCTGTCTATAAAGACTTTATTGAGTTAGTATATGTATTACTTGTGTGTATGTGTGTAAAGTACGGAACCATAAAATCAAAATATAACGTAAACCTATTAGTAGTAAGTTTTTTTTCAACGTTTAACAGTTGAATTGGCAATATGAAAATTTATCGCTCGCCACCAGATTCTAATGGTAAAAGTAAATTGACAATAAGATAAAAATCAGTTATGATTATCGAGTAGATTTGACCAATTAAAAAATATATTACCCTCAAAGACCGTAGAATCTAACAGGACTGCTACATCCATTGTTGTGACAACCTGCCCGCAAACTACGTCACACCATTTTCCACTTCCAGCTGTTGTTGTGGTCTATGCGTTTGCTGTGTATTTTTAGAGGTTATATCGTAGAGGTATTCATACTATTTTTGAAGTTTTATGTTTTTATGCGTATTAATGTGTATCATATTACCTCTAAAAACACAGACAGTTACCAGGCGTGGCAAATAGTGTGACGTAGAGTGCGGGCAACCAACCCGTAGTGTGCTACAAAAATACAATGGATGTAGCAGTCTACCTTTTCAACATTTTTTTAAATTTTATTATTTAGATTAAAAAACATTAATAAACTAAAACATATTATTACATTAGTTAATTTACCTACTTTGTTTCCATGGTACACATTATTTTAACTATCTTTAACTATCCTCTAAAAACATTGGTCTGTATCGAATAATAAAAAGCGGATTATCAAAAAACTTCCATATACCAAATTTGAACAGAATCTGTTGAAATACACGTCTAATATTAAATAAAAATTAATTTAAAAATTTAATTTGAACACCTGTATCTCCAAAACAAAGCATTTGTCGACCTATGTTTATATGACGTTTTTGTGCTAATTTTAAAAGATCTATCAACTGTTAAAGTCCTGCCACAAAAACCTGAAACACCCTATATAATCAATAATGCGTTTTGGAGAACAATCAGATTATTCCTTCTGGTTATATTTTTGTGTTTAGTAACCGAAATAATTGCTGTTGATATGCATCAAGCTTACAGAATTCGTTGTTTCCAACAATCATGGATTATTTTATTGAACAAAAGTTGAAATTGTTATTTTAATACTAATAGATTTTAATTGATGATCAATAGAGAGAAGTTGGGCACTAATATTTTAAAGCAAATGGTTAATAATCAATTAGTTATTATAGAGGATGGAAAATCAATTAATCAGAGCTTAATATTAAAAATTTGCCATAGTAAGCTCAATCATTAATTGTAGTTACAGTACCTTTTCATTTTATTTATTCATTTAGGGTCGCTAATGGCTGGTTGAGGATATCGAATTTAACGTTAGCTAACCAGCCATAATCATTTTTAAATTACATTAAAAAATAAATAACTTTAAGGAATAAAAAATATTTTAAGAGGTTTAATAAAAAATCTGTATATCTCACCAAACTTGTTTCTTTATTATTTCAAAAATATTATTATTTTCATTCACTCTCTCACATCCTGTTCAAATATAAGCTTCGTTTCATGTTGTGATGGAACAATGTTGTCCATGTCCAAAAAAAATCTTGACTCTTGGGTGAAAGGTTATTCATTCAACCTAAAGAAAGATCAGAGTTAAAACAAATATTCATATTACAAAAAAGAAAAGACAATTAAAAAACGGGATTAAAACTAATAGAGTTTAATGGATCCCTAAAGTTTGTTTTCTAACTTTCGTTTCGTGCTTTTAATTCATTACAAAAAGATTTTTTCCCTTTTAATCATTTAACAAATGTTTGTTAAAGATAAAAAATATTATTCATTATTACTTAATCAGATTAAGCAGCAAAAGTATAAGTAAGTAGACGTGGAGCGTGTTTTAGCTCACCGTTTTCTTTTTTTTTGTCAAATTGATCAGAAAATAAACTAAATAATGAAAATATTGTGTTTATACTTTACCTAAGAATCATCCACTAGCTATTTTAAAGAAAATAGCTTTATTTGGGGCCATATACAGGGAGATTTTTTTGTTAAAATGAATACGTACGTAACGTATTTTTATTAACGAATTTAATGCCACTTATGTGAACATTTTAATCTTCATCATCTTGTGACTGATTTTAATTTCTTTACTGCACTCGAGCCTTCAACGATTAATTTTTGAACATCGCACAATCCTTTTTAAATATTATTACACTTAGTTCTTGGTGATTTTTTTTAATTATCTGTCGCAAATTTTATTTTCTTCTAAGAGGCGGTTGTGGTTTCCATGAAAGAAAGTAAAAATTGTAAAACTTTACCAGTGTTGGGTATTTCCTATTTTAAAGATATATTTTTTTAATAATTCATTTTGTTTATGTTATATATTTTGGATGTCAAAGAAATTTTGAAAGAAAAAAACTCCCTGTTTATCTAAATATATTATTATTCAATAATATTTTTGCAGTGTGGCGTAATAAAAGACGTTACTTTTTATTTAGCATTTTAAGCGTTACCCAACACTGGTATTTTTAATAAGAAAACTAAAAAAGGTAATAGTGATTTTTTTTCAAAGATAAATAAACATAATATCCACAATTAGTTTTCGTTTTTATTATATTACAAGTAAATATTCAAATTTCTACATACAAGTATGGAAGAAATAAATTATTACAAGATCATCATACAATTATTTGTCGTGTAGACTTCTGGGATTATTTAAAAAACGATCGATTCGTTCTTTGTCACCTCCAAAAAGGAAAATAAAAAAATAAAATATTGAGTTAATTTATATTTAGTTATTTAATTGTATGTAGTTACTCATTGATCTTTATGTAAACATTTTCACAAAAAAACAATCATTCTACGCTTAAAAAAAAAAATTTTAAAGATAGTCACTCAGAGAATTTCTTCACTAATTTAAACACTTAATCTACTTAAATAAACACACGTCCACAGACACATGAAAAAATTATTCATTAAAATCATATTGCCAAAAAAATGGTCATCTTTAAAAAAAAAAAAATAATAACTGAAATAAAATAACGATCTCTCAATTCCACAAATATCAAAATGGAAACGTTATTGAACGATATACATTTTGTTCATTCTTGATAATTATCGTATTTATAAACTATTTAATTAACTTTTATTTATTACTCTATTTTTATCTTGAATTCTGTTTAAATTAATAGCCTTGGTGAGATAATTAGAAGCGTCTACCTTGGTTCGATGAACCTGAAATGTTCAAGTAGAAAATAATTGCAGAAACTGTTCCAGATCATGTACAGAAAAACAGATCCTTAAACACATTTATTTTTTTTTCAAATTAGTTTTAATTGTTTTATTTTTTAATTCAACAGCAGAAACGAAAAGAAACTTCGCATTATTTATATACCTGTATTATTAATGCGTTAACTTAAATATTATACATATAAGAACACTAATAATAATAAATTAATGAATCCTTATCATGATAGGTGTAATGTTTATCAGGGATATCACACACATTCTTTAGGAAATCCTCTTGGCCACTCTTTGTTCAGTTTTTAGTTTATATATGCGCTGAAACCATTATAAAATAATACGTTTTATAATTTTAGCCTCTTAAGGCTTTCAAATTTTAATTTTGCTTAATATAATTATTTGTTACTATATAACATTTATACTTAAAGCCACCCATAGTTTATAGATCAAGATTAGATGATATTTCAACATGCAGCACATATACTACTACTAATATTCTAAGTAAAAGTATTTTTCTTAGTAATTCATGGATGTTTAAACATCATTAATGTTTACTAAAACCTACAATTAAAAAATGTTTCTTTACATTCACTACAAAATGATTTAATATTGTTATAAATAAGCCAATATAGGAAGAAGTATTAGTAGCAAACTAGATACAGTTAATCTTTTGTGCATTAATTATTTATGCTTCACCACTTTAAACCCTTAATGTTTATTTAATGAATCGTCTTAAACGGTGGCTTGTCTTATAAATGATATAAAGTACATATCCATTTTTAATCATTCGTTTCTCTTCATTTAACTGTACTTTTCAAATTCTCATTTAATCATATCTATTTTTAATATCCATCTACAAAAGTGGCCATAAAAACAAAATCACTTACCATAGCCACCTGTTGATGCATAACCTCCCCTGTCAAATCCAGTCGACTGGCTTTGGTAACCTCCACTGACTCCACTATTGTAACCTGGTTGGCCATATCCATCACTACCACCTCCAGCTCCACCATAACTCTGTCCATAGTTATCACCACCTCCATATCCACCACCACCACCTTGGCCTCCACCAGATTGATAACTTTGTTGGTAACTGCCCCCATCATATTGATTGCTTCCATATCCCCCAGTTCCGCCACCTCCTCCATATCCACCTTGACTTTGTCCATAGGGATTTTGATTTCCAAACGACTGCGTTTGTCCGTAAGGTTGTTGCTGGCTATATCCTCCTTGTCCTTGATTTCCAGTATTAGCAGATCCATAACTTTGTCTATGAAAATATAACATCAAAATTTTTCGACCAAATTCATACATTTAACAACTACCTTTGTCCGCCAAATCCGTTTGTAGAGCCACCATTTTCAAATCTAGGTCTTTTCGCGCCTGGTCCACCCTGTTGTTGTCCAGATTGTCCTCTTTTTGGTGGACCACCACCGCCTGATCCCATCGGACCACCTCGACCCCTCTGCATAAATCCTCCACGTCCTCCTCTTTGTCCACCCCTATCATTCATACGCCCACCACGATCTCCTGGTCCACCACGACCTCTTGGTGGGCCGCCTCTTCCACGGAAACCGCCGCCACCACCGCCGATTCCACCTCTAGGTCCACCTCTTTGACCTCCCATAGGTCCTCGTGGTCCTTGATTATCTCCTCCAGGTCCGGATGGACCTCCACCAGATGGACCACCACCACCTTGAGGTCCTCCAAAACGACCACGAGGGCCCCCTCTAGGACCCCCACGACCACCTGGACCACCGCGACCACCTCTCATCATTGGACCACCACCTCCACGACCTCCTGGTGGACCTCCACTAAAGATAGCAAAAAAATACAAGGATTTTTAATATGAGTTTACTGCAATATTTTAGTATGTTTAAATAAGTGGAACTCTCTAAGTGTTGGTGGGTCTTAATGCGCATCTAAATTGAATTGAATAAAATTTCCGAATTCAATAAAAACAAATTAAAATGAGCAATTTTATTTTTTAAACTAATTTATGATGTTATGTTTTGTTTCGGTTCATTAACACTTTTTTAGGATAAAAATTTTAATTAAAACTGACAAGTTCTTAAATATTAGCGTTAAATTTTAAACAAGATTAACACCTGCGAAGAAAGAGACGCAATAAAGAATATAGACAAGTTATAAAAATGTAAACAGACGTAGACTGGCGTGAAAAGTGAGACGCGTAAAATCCAATAACATGTTAAAATTTTCAAGGTTTTAAAAAAGAGGATTTATGCTCTATTAAACAATGTTGGTTGCCATAGCAACGAAACAAAGAACAATGTAAACAAGCAAGTATAGCCAAAAAATGTGCCACAATTAATTAGGAATTTTTTATTTGAAACATTTTTCTTTAAAACCACAAATTGTGAAGTTATTGCCTATATTCCAGACATTTGACACACCTGTATATCGAAATTTATTTCCGAAATTTTCTAAATTGATGCAACTTAAGACTGAATGCAAACCGTTTTCGTTTTTTAATCATACTTATGAATAAGTTTTTAATATAATTTTGCGCCATTGAAGGTTAACACAAACACCAAAGACCTGTTGCAGACTGTTGTAGGATCCACAGCACTTATAATAGGATCCTTAGGGATTTAACGACGTAGGAATGAATGATTTTTTCTTGTTAGCTTTGATCGATTTACATTTCGTAGTGCTTTGTTAACTTCACCCGTCTTTTTATAATTCCACACCACGTATTGTGTACTAGAGGTGCTGCGCTTCATTATTGTTACGATTTCAAGCAAAGATTTTCGTTTTATATAAAATTTTATTATTTTTTTTCTTTGTTCAATTGAAAGTTCAGTTGACTTTCTATCCACTTCGAATTTTCCGCAATTTTTATAATAATTCTACAGATTTTGAGGTGTTTTGAAAAAAAAAACGGTGCTTAACAAAATGGGGACAAAACACGATTAAAAAACTTGTATAACAGCAGTTATCAGACACAAAAACTCAATCTTCCGACTGGGTGGAATACAGTTTTTGCTGTCAACTGTTAATAAAATGCTCTTTCGCGTACAGTTATTAAACTGTATAGGTAACCAAGACATTCACTTTTGCTTTTACTCTTCTAAGTGAAATAAATCATCAAAAATATTTGAAATTTTTACTACCATTCTTGAGTAATTCGTGATTTTCTATTTTTTTGGTGGGTGTTCGAATATGGATTTTGCATACTGTATTTTAATTTACCATATCCATTTAATTCACATCACCCTTCTTTCATTCATTTTTAGAACTTTTAGAAAGTTTTTTAGAATAGTATTAATAAATATAATTTTTTAATTAAATAAAGGAACCAAAATAATTTATACTCAAATGGACCTAAGATTTTGAGACAGGAAGACATTTTTTTGATAAATATTGAAATTGTTATTAATAACTAGTTGTTTTATACAGAATGGTCCATTACTAATGGGACTCAGAGTAACAGTGAATTCCTTATATTAAATTAATACAATTTAACCCAATTTATGTTAGTCCAATTGTTAATAATAACAACAGATACAGATAATATTTCATTTTCGTTTTTCTTTAATAATTTCTTAAATTATGAACATGAAAATTGGTACATTATCATTTTTTAAGGCAATAAATTATAACAACCTAAAAAACTCTTTTAAAGTAGTCATATCTTATTTATCATTAGAATTTTTACAACTCACACAACTTGATACAGTTTCTCAGACATTTTTACATAAATTTGATATACCTACCAATCTTCTTTAAAGTTCTCTATTTTCAAGACAATCATTGTTTAAGATTAACTATGCTCAATAAACATTAGTTGTTGGTGAAAAAGTCTTTGTTTAATCAAATAGTGTACGATCAGTTTAATTTTACACTCAATATTATTGTAATCAAAGATTTGTTGTTATTGTTACTATGAAATAATGCTCCAGCATGATATGACGTGCATATACACTCAAGAAAGCTTTAATAGAAGGAAAACATGCAGCAGATATTTGTTAAAATAACATAATAGAAGTCAATAATGATAATGTACTAGCTTTCATGTTCATAATTTAAGAAAAAACGAAATTATTAAAGGATAAATTGGGTTAAATCATAATAATTTGATGTAAGGAATTCATTGTTGCTCTGTGTCCCATTACTAATGGACCACCCTGTTTATCCATAACAGTTTTGTAAACACACTCTCAATATGACGCTTACAAACGCCTGTTCAAGGTATTACAGCACATCTAAACGTCCAACACAAAATTCTCCATCTGTATTATTCTATACAATCTGTACTATAACATAGGTTGAATGATAATAAACATAAAACACAATTTATAGTTTTAATTTAAAGATTATTTACCGTCCACGCATGTAATTTCCGCGTCCTCCTCGTTGGCCTCCACCACGCATACCTCTGGACCCGCCACTACCTCGATCACCACCACCACCTCCTCCAGAGACATTTCCACTGTTGGATCGTTGTATGGGAGGATTAGAATTTGTCGTTGTGCCGGGGCTGGTACCATCAGCCATTGTTACTGAAAAATGCGTCCAGCAAATGTTAATGACCTTTAAGCATTTTGAGGTTATATGATGTCGCAAACGACTGTGACGTTTCTTAACAGGATTTTAATAAAATTTATAGAAAATTAAACTTACCAGATTAAAATTATCTCGGAGAAACTGAAGATAAAGAATATATAACGCTGTCAGTTTCAAGCAAACGACAAAATGGAGATAGCCGGCGTCGGTTTGGTAACAGAAATGTTATTGCGCATGCGCGAAATTTATGTCACTACTAAAGCGCCATAAAAAGTGAACTAATAATATTTGGCGGAAAATTTAATTATTTCAAATAAAGTGTTTAAATTTTAAATATTAATTTGTATCTTTATTTACATCTTTAATAATTAATTTCTTAGATTTGGAATTAATTATTAAGTTAATTTTCCTTATGCCTATTTATGTAACCTTGACTCGTTTTCAAGATTTATGCTTTATAATATAACGAGATTATTAGAAACCCCAAAACTGAACCGAGAAGCATTTCTTAAGCCGAAGGATTATAATTTTTTATTAAATTACTACAACCATTGGATATGTATAAAAACATAAACGGTCAACATGGAATTGAGTCGCTTCCTATTTTTCAAACTGGCGACCGATCGCTAGTGCCCTAGTCAATACCAAGAAGTGTTTCTTTTAACCCATTATCCAAAATGTCGGTACTTGGAGCTTCAAAGTTTTCTGCATGGTCCGCGCCCGATCCAAGAGCCGGAGGAGTTCATGGTTTCCCAGGAATGGGAGTTATGAGTGGTGCCAATATGACGGTTTTCGATAAGGTTCTTCCGGATATGGTTCCAATGGTGGATGAATATTGGAGCCAATGGCCACCAATGAACCCACTTTGGCATGCAATACTAGGATTAGTTATTGGAGTATTAGGAGTTGTTTCAATAGCCGGAAATGGAATGGTTATTTACATTTTCAGCGGTACAAAATCGCTGAAGACTCCTTCAAACATGTTAGTGGTCAATTTAGCAATTTCCGATTTCTTGATGATGCTTTTTATGTCTCCGGCGATGGTGGTTAATTGTTACTTTGAGACGTGGGTTTTTGGTAAGATGAAAAAAAAATTACATCTATAAGATAAATTTCAATTTTATTTTAAAAAGGCCCAACGTTTTGTGAAATATATGGAATGACTGGATCTTTATTCGGTTCTATTTCTATATGGACCATGACTATGATTGCTTTGGATAGGTACAATGTCATTGTAAAAGGGTTAAGTGGCAAACCGATGACAAAAGGGGGAGCTTTCTTAAAAATTTTAGGAATTTGGTTGTTTTCTTTAGGGTGGACAGTTGCGCCTATGTTGGGATGGAACAGGTCTCTATTTAATAAAAGTAAAAATTAAACAATTTTAGATATTTAAACATTTTTGTGCTGTAGATACGTCCCCGAAGGAAATATGACGTCTTGTGGAACCGACTACTTGAGTCATAGTTGGCTTAGCAAGAGCTATCTCATAGTTTATGCCTGTTTCGTGTATTTTCTTCCTTTATTTACCATAATCTACTCTTATTTCTTCATTGTGCAAGTAAGTAACTATCACCAATATGATGTGTCTATATTAAATTAAAAATTTCTTTCAGGCTGTATGTGCTCATGAAGAAGCAATGAGAGAACAAGCCAAGAAAATGAATGTTGCCTCTTTAAGATCTTCAGAACAAGCGCAAACAAGCGCTGAATGTAAATTGGCCAAAGTTGCTTTAATGACAATTTCCTTATGGTTTATGGCATGGACACCTTACTTAGTAACGAATTTTGTTGGTGTTTTTGAAACGGGCAAAGTAACACCGCTTGGAACTATTTGGTGTTCCCTCTTTGCTAAAGCAAACGCAGTTTATAATCCTATTGTATACGGTATTAGTCACCCGAAATATAGACAAGTGTTACACAAGAAGTTCCCGTCATTAGCTTGTGCGGATAAACCTGAAGCTGCTTCGGTTGCTTCTGATTCGCAATCTGTTGCATCTGGGGCGACTCAAGCAACAGGTACAGAAGCATAAGCTCATAAAAATAAGGAAAATTTGAAATATTTATGATGACAATGGCACGTCTACGGTACTCGATTTGAATGAAATTTTAGATAATGTACATAAAAAGACCCTGACCAGAAGCGATTATGTAATAAGAATGTTACTTTTTCTTAAATAAATCCCAAGCAGCATCTTATCGTTGTTTTACTACTAGACTAGAAATAACTTGTAATATTAGATGGTTGTGTAATAATTGGCAAACGATTCAAATTGTGAATTGTTAAAATTTTTAGAGTGACATAGTAGTTTCTTTATTTTTATATTTAGATCTTTTAAACCGTTATACGTTTCAATGTTAGCTGAAAATAAGCGTACAAGGTATGTTAGTAAAAAAATGAAATATTAAAATGAAATAACCACCGACTTTTTTCACTACAATTTGCCGATCACCAGGTAGTGTTAGCGCAGGACACATCTGATTTAGAATTTATGATAAAGAGAGAGAAGTGGGGGATGCATATAAGCTTAAAAGAGACAGAATATCTAGTGATTAATAGCGATGCTAAATTTCAAATATTAATTAATGACGATACAACAACTAAACAAGTTGAGGAATTTAAATATTTGGGAGTATAGGAATGGTATAGGGGAAAGAGAGATAAAACATAGAATAACTGAAAGCAGGAAAATTATAGGATGCCTTAATAGTCTATGGTGAGACACTAACATAACAAGAGGAACTAAAAAGAGACTAGGAAGAACACTAGTAATACTACATCTAGAAAGTCAAAATGAGAGGTTTAAGGTGGTTTGGATACCTGATGAGGAAGCATGACAACGGCTGGCCGACGAAGTTAGACAACACTTAGTTGTAATTTGATATGTAACATTTGTTAATATGTACTATCTAGCTCAATATGTATATATTTTAGACAATATCTCTACCATTAATTATAATCACATAATTTTTGCAACACTTAATCCATTTCCTTTTGGTTCTGTTATATAACTTATTGAAGTGTTTGGAGATTTACTTACATCCGATGTTAAATTAAGTCAGTCATTTTGAAAATTCAGATTCTCAATTTCAATTATTCTGCTCGTCACCCTTTTAGACCATTTTTGGTGCTTATATTGCCAATAAACGTTGAATGTATCTAAGCCTTTACTTTGTTTATACAACTCGTTCCTTTCCTCATGTTGCATATTTCACCGCAACGTGATGCAATAAAACCTTTCTTACTTCCATTACTAATTATTACTCTACCACGATTACCATTTTTCTGCAACAATCGCCATCGAAGAAATTTCAATTTATGATTTTCAATAAACCTTGAGCTCTTTCCTTTATAGGACAAAGATCGGTACATTGATTCATAATAGAATCCAAGAGAATTTAAAGATAAAACAGATACGTTGTATCTCTTTACTAAACGTATTTTTATTTTAATTTTTTTTCAAACTACTTTTAGAGTTAAGGATTTTCTAACGTTTTAAATAAAATTATTAAAAACAGAATAATTTCTCGTGTTTTTATTAAAAGTTTAAAAGAGAGCGCGGGAGTTTTATTACTATACAGTGTAAAAAGTCAGCAACATCCCGTTTTTTTTTGATTTCATTGCACCTACGCTTCTGAAATTTTGTTTATATGTTGGTCACAACTTCAAGATTACCGGAAGTAGACCAAAATCGTTATTTTAAATGTTAAATATTTCAAATTTTCAATAATATTATCTTATAATTTTCATATCATACCGTAAACAACAACCTTTAACCTTCTATTTAACAAATATATCATATCATTCTCCTTAAAAAATACAGTCGATATGATTGTTTCAAAATTTCATATTATTGTTGATTTATAAAATAAATTTCTTACAATTTCTTCTTTAATAATTTTTTCCTGGGAATTTTAATGATATAATCTTATCGTTTTTATATCATATCATAAACTAGCATCTTTAAGCTTCAATTTAACATACATATCATATCTTGATTCTTCAAAATGTAGTCGATATTATTTTTTCAAAATGTCGTTATTTTTGATTTAGAAATTTGACAATTTCTTCTTTAATAATTTTTTCCTGGAAATTTCAATAATATTATCTTATAATTTTTATATCATATCACACACTGCAATCTTTAAGCTACAATTTAACATACATATCATATTAAAATTCTTAAAAATACAGTCGATATGATTTTTTGAAAATTTCATATTATTTTTGACTTAGAAATTTGACAATTTCTTCTTAAATAATTATTTGCTGGGAATTTCAATAATATTATCTTATAATTTTTATATCATATCACAAACTAGAATCTTTAAGCTACAATTTAACATACATATCATTCCAAGTTTCTTAAAAATATAGTCGATATGATTTTTTCCAAATTTCGCGTTATTTTTAATTTATAAATTTGACAGTTTCTTCTTTAATAATTTTTTCCTGGAAATTTTATTAATACTATCTTATAGTTTTTACACCACATCATAAATTAGCATCTTTGAGCTTCAATTTAACATACATACCATATCTTGATTTTTCAAAATGCAGTCGATATTATTTTTTAAAAATCTCGTTATTTTTGATTTATAAATTTGACAGTTTCTTCTTTAATAATTTTTTCCTGGAAATTTTATTAATATTGTCTTATAGCTTTTACACCATATCATAAATTAGCATCTTTAAGCTTCAATTTAACATACATACCATATCTTGATTCTTAAAAATGCAGCCGATATTATTTTTTTAAAATCTCGTTATTTTTGACTTAGAAATTTGACAATTTCTTCTTAAATAATTATTTGCTGGGAATTTCAATAATATTATCTTATAATTTTTATACCATATCATAAACTAGCATCTTTAAGCTTCAATTTAACATACATATCATATCTTGATTCTTAAAATTGCAGGCGATATTATTTTTTGAAAATGTCGTTATTTTTTATTTAGAAATTTGACAATTTTTTCTTTAATAATTTTGGTGGTAATTTCAATAATATTATCTTATAATTTTTATATCATATCACAAACTAGAATCTTTAAGCTACAATTTAACATACATATCATACCAGGTTTCTTAAAAATACAGTCGATATGATTTTTTGAAAATTTAGCGTTATTTTTGGTTTATAAATTTGACAATTTCTTCTTTAATAATTTTTTTCTAGGAATTTCAATAATATTATCTTATAATTTTTATATCATATCACAAACTAGAATCTTTAAGCAACAATTTAACATATATATCATATTAAAATTCTTAAAAATACAGTCGATATGATTTTTTAAAAATTAAGCGTTATTTTTGATTCATAAATTTGACAATTTCTTCTTTAAAACTTTTTTCCTGGGAATTTCAATAATATTATAACTTTTTCTAAATTAGTTTTCATCCCTTCATTACCAATTAAAAAATATATTCGAGAATATGATAAGGTGAACTCAATCATAGAAGGGCGCTGTGATACAGTAAAGATTCTTATTGAAAGAAATGGTAAAAATTAGAACAGAAAAAATTGATTTGAACCTATTTTTAGTAAAGTTGCAACTTCCTAACGCTTTATTCGATTTTATCTATTTCTTGTAACAATAACTAGGTCAACTAGAACAACACGAAAGGTTTTCATTTCTATTTTAGTACAGCAGTTCGAAGAATTTCTCACTAATAACCTTTAAAAATCCTTATTATTTTTTACTGTTAACTGATTATAAGACGTTTGTTATTAGTTGTTAAACAAAAACTCTTTTAATTATAAACAAATAGAAAAATATTTATCCCATCATTTTAACTTCGTTTGCTAGATATCTTATTAAATACGTAGTAGATTATAACTTTGTAGTTTAAATAGTATGTTGGCAATGATTTGGTGAAAAAATTTGGAACAAGTAACAAAGTTTAAAATTAAAATAACCATTTATTTTATTACACATATAATTATATTTTCAACAACGTGAGGTACTTATAACTGTGTGCCCTGTACAAATAGATATTTTACGTAAGAAAAGTAGTACTGTACAAATTATTTTTTTTTACTATTTACACACGACAACAACTTAATCAACGGTAACACTCTATTGAAGAAAATTAAACAATATTAAATTAAGTAATAATCACAACAATAAAAATTTCTTTAAAAAGAGTAGTATTTTTTTTTAATATTTTTATGTTATTACAAAATCCTGTTTTGTGCATCTGGTGAGTAATTGTTTTGGCGTGATCACTTTGTACTATGGAAACTATTGAATTAAAAAATTGGAATTCTATTACTGTATTTTATTCCCAAATCATTTGTGCAAAATTTACACTAAAACTATATTCCCAACAGAACTTGTGCACTCTAAATCTTCATCATAACCACTTTCGTCGCTACACGCACTTCCGATTTCTTCCTCATCATCATCATACCTAATCGAATCGTGCTCGAATTGAACTTTTCTCTTAAAAACTTTCAATGAGCTAAAATCGGTTTGTTGACTTTCACCAACCGGAACTAAAGAAACTTCTTCGCTTTGTAATTTAATGTCACAATACATGCGTAAATCTGTTCCCACAACAATCCTTTCAAGACTTCTTACTTTTGGAAGAACGACACTTCCTCCAACTTTAAAGTCTAACTCAGTCTTTTTCTCCATCGTTTTATCATCATCCTGTTGATTTTGGGTTTCTTCTTCAAGGATTGTGGTGAAGTGTGGTTGGTCTGAATCGGAAGTGACTGTACTCGCACTTTCACAACCGCTCGATAACGAACCTTCATCGCTATCAACCGGAATTAAATCAGGCGTTTCTGACAATGTTCTCAACCATCCATTTACATTACACGATTCTATAAGATCGCTTTGAAGACTACTTTCGATTAATTCATTTAAAATCATTTCGCTTCTTTCATCAACAGATAATTCTTCGGGGATTCCATCACAAAATTTGCGAGTTGATCTTTTCTGTTTTATATCACAGCTTACTTTTTTCTCTAAAAGCGCATCTGAGCTATCGTAATGCCTAAGAATTCGATTTCTAGGCCTTCCTTCAAAAATTTCCTCAGTCTCTTCTAAATTCTCCTCGATTATCGTTAATTTCGGCGCAGATTTCGATCTTTCTAAAGGTGGCCTATAATTTTGACCACCTGTGCTTAATAAAATCTTTCTCCGAGGCATCGTTGGGTTCTCATAAACCGAATTGACCAAAGAAAGTCGGGCGTTTTGTCTGTTGATCTTGTCGCGTTTAAATTCGGCCAAGGCCAGGGCTAAAGATTGCTTAAGTTTCATCTCGATTTGACGGGCAACTTGAGATGATGAACAAAGAACCGCATGACAACGCAATTCGTGTCTTAAACGTCTACCTTCGTGACGATAAACCCAACAGAATAAACGAGGAAAATGTTGAGGGGCCGCACAAAATGTTAATCTATTCGCCCAGTATTCAGTTAATCCGTGATCTTTGGTTGTCGCTTTTAATCCTCCTCCACTTACGGTGAGTTGCATTCTTACATCTGGACGTGATGATTGAGTGTAATTTCTCCATAATGTTGCTAAAGGTTTTTCGACACAACCATCACCTGTAAAGATAAAGAAAAAAATTAGTTGATTATTTTTAACTAGGGAGTGCTTAATATAGCCAAAAGTCAAAAATATGCCACATAGTGATATCTAGTGCTAACTAATGTTACTTAGCATTGTCACTAGACTAACACTAGACCTAGAACTAGAAACTAATTTATGGTTACTTTATTATAATTGAGTTCATCTTATCATATTCTCAAACATATTTTTTTTTAACGAAAAGTTGAAAACTAATTTAGAAGATGTTGGGTTGGGTTGGGTATTCGATTATTTGTTGGTAGGAAAAGGAGAAAAAAACTTTGATAGATAATTAGATTATTATTAGATCAGATTTTTATGTGAATCTGTGCCAGAAAAATGTTCCCTTATCTAGTTCAATAAACAGCTTCAGCCATCACAGTTCCATAATTAACTGAAATTATGCCCAAGGTAGAGTACTTTAAGCCTAAAAATTCTAGTTTATGATATGATAAAAATATTATAAGATAATATTATTGAAATATCCCGAAAAAAATTATTAAAGAAGAAACTGTTAAATAATTCAAAAATAACGCGAAATTTTCAAAAAATCATATAAACTGTATTTTTAAGAATTTTAATATGATATATATATTAAATTGTTGCTTAAAGATTCTAGTTTGTGATGTGATATAAAAATAATAAGATAATATTATTGATATTCCTAGAAAAGAATTATTAATGAAAAAATTGTCAAATTTATAAATCAAAAATAATATGAAATTTTCAAAAAATCATATCGACTGTATTTTTAAGAATTTTAATATGATGTGTATGTTAAATTGTAGCTTAAAGATTCGAGTTTGTGATATGATATAAAAATTATAAGATAATATTATTGAAATTCCCAGGAAAAAATTATTAATGAAGAAATTGTCAAATTTATAAATCAAAAATAGCGAAAATAATATCGACTGCATTTTTAAGAATCAAGATATGATATGTATGTTAAATTGAAGCTTAAACGTCCTAGTTTATGATATGGTATAAAAACTATAAGATAATATTAATAAAATTTCCAAGAAAAAATTATTAAAGAAGAAACTGTCAAATTTATAAATCAAAAATAATATGAAATTTTCAAAAAATCATATCGACTGTATTTTTAAGAAACTTGGTATGATATGTATGTTAAATTGTAGCTTAAAGATTCTAGTTTGTGATATGATAGAAATATTATATGATAATATTATTGAAATATCCCGGAAAAAATTATTAAAGAAGAACTTGTCAAATTTATAAATCAAAAATAACGTGAAATTTTCAAAAAATCATATAGACTGTATTTTTAAAAATTACCTAACTTTACCTAGCACTGTCACTAGAACTAACACTAGACCTAGAACTGGAACCATTCGGCTTTAGCCGTCTTAAGAAACGTACGGCTAAACCCGAATGTTTCCAGTTCTAGGTCTAGTGTTAGTTTTAGTTTTAGTTTAATAAAAGTATGCAACGTAATAATATCTAGAGCTAACTAGCGCTTATCTAGCACTGTCATTAGAACTAACACTAGACCTAGAACAAGAAACATTCGGGTTTAGCCGTACGTCTCTTAAGACGGCTAAACCCGAATGTTTCTAGTTCTAGGTCTAGTGTTAGTTCTAGTTTTAGTTTAATATGTAATAGAGCAACTTGAGGAATAACCCAAGTTAGATTCTATCTATGAACGTTTACATTTATGTTTATGTTTATCTACATTTATAATTAAATATACTGATATATTAAATAGATAGATGTATCAAGGTTATAAAAATGTAAGATGTGTTATTAGTTGGTGGGTTATGGACAAAGTGTCGTTAACCTGATCTGCAAGGTCAGGACCATTAAAAACGACATAATCTCCGTTAAGTAGAGAGGAAACTGGTTCTTGTTTATTGGAAATATTCTGATTGACAACAAACCAATTGTTTATAATCATTAATATCTATAACCTTTTCAACGACACGTTTAAATTTTAGTATTTTTTAACATTCTTTTCTATTGAAGTTTGGAACGAAAACAAAATGGGCAATAAAAACTTGACCATAATAAAAACAACTTCAAGAACTTATACTGCGCGTTGCTTTTACGACTGGAAACAACCTTAACAGTGACATTATGCAGAAGAATAACGTATTTTAACACGTTGCCGACGACGAATATAATAATAATAATAATAATAACAAGCAGTGGATGTTAAAATTTGTTATGGTCTCGTAGAAATCGTTTAGAAATCTTTGTTGCGTCATTCCATCTGTAATCGTATGAGGAATAACAAACGTTTTGCTTTCACTTGAATCTAAAAAAAAAGTGTTTAGTAATCTTTGATTTCATCTATTTGATTAATTAATTTATTATTAAAATTTATAATTTGTGAAATATTTAAAAAATGACATATATTAATAAGAAAATTGCTATTATTATACACGAGCAATTGGCACAATTGTAAACCATTAGGCCAATTGCCATTAAACGTTTTAGTGTTTTGATTATGATGCATTATTCAATGTCTGCTGACGTCGCCAATAAACTTTTTGCAAAACTGTTTTGGTCACGTGGTGAAAACAAAGACACGCGGCAAAATTAACAAAAATAGAAAAAAAATGTTTGGATTGCAAGAATTTCATTTCCAATGTCAACCTCTCCCGGTGAATGTGTTGTTCTTTCATATCTCACGTTCTGGAAGTTTGTTTCTGTGTTGTCCGTGGGACGGTCACCGAAACAGGTCTGCTCATCCATCGAAGAAGAAGAAGGTGACCTCTAAAAGGAGCGGTGTATCACGTATCAAGCACCAACCAAAACACCAACATTCTTTTTCTTTTGAAAGTGATCCTTTAAAAAACATCATTATTTATCATCATCTTGATGTGTTGTAAAAATAGAAAGATTTTTCTTTGGCATCAAAAACGAGTCACATTTTCTTTATCGCCTTTCTTTAAAGGTTTGTACCGTTGGGTTGAACCAAGTATTCCTAACGGGTTCAGTTACAATGGGCAGGTCGGGATTGAACAACGCACACAATGTGTTATTCCACCAGGTTTTAACTGTTCGATTATACCTGGGATTTGTGTTGAGTTTTAGGTATGGGAAAGCGTGTAGTTGCGTATTCTCAGAATTATCATCTTTATCTTTGCCTACTTAGTCTTTATCTTAAGTATGTTGGTTAAATAAACAAAAATAAGTTTACTAAAAACTAGTTGATAAACAGGATGTTAAGATTTTAATCCAACAAAATATTTTAAAACTATCCTCGATACCCCAAAACATAAACATCATAATAAAATACAAAATTAATTAATGTTTTGACTGGTTCTAAATCGACCTGTTTTTTTCGGGATTTCCGCACGAATTAAAAAAAAAGGAAACATTCGAGAATTCAAAATAAAAATTTGTTTACAAGGATTTCCCAAAATCCTAGTTTTATTTTAAACTTTTTGCACTTTGAAACCACCGTCATTTCCATTTTACATTTTGGTGTCGTGTCGTTTCATAGATTGTGTAATCTGTACTAGTTTTTTTTTGTTGGTTTGGAGGCAGCAAGAAACCCACGCGTTTTAAACCGTACGAAAGAATTTATTAATAACATTATCATAACAGTACAAGAAAGCAGTCAGCATTCGTTTTCCCGTTACGATTGCGATACGCGTTTAGTTAAATCCGTAATTGGATGTATGAATCGCAAACGCAACGAACTTACGATCGCGTGAATGTTCATTGCTCCAGATAAAGGTGACTAATACGGTTCGAATTGATGGATTGCGTTTTTCATTTTTTCATGAACCGTTCGTTCTATTTCTAATTTTTAATATACTAGGTATTTTCACTGTTAGGTGAAACTTTGTAACAAATCAAAAGTAACCTTTAAAGTTTCATAGAAAAATTATGGCTACATTCATCATATAGAATTCTATTGCAACATATTATTATATATGTTTATATAGAAATAATGATTCCATCAACAGAGATCTAAATATTAATATTATAATATAACAATAATGCAAAAAAGTTATCTTATTATTTCTTAACCAATTTCTCTTAGTTATTGAAGCAACATATGCAAAGACAGGTGGTGACCGGGAAACGTTTCAACATAATGTGTTTGTATAGCATTCTCATTGGCACCATGGTGTATGAATACCATATCGCCTATTTATTACACAAAACTTCAAATTAAACTTTCGTAACACTGCTGCTGTTATTAATATAGTTTTATTTACAAAGTTCGTAAAATCACACAACATAAAATGAATCTTGATTTCGACAACATAAGTACAAAATCTTACTACTTGAAGATTTCGAAATAGATAAGCTTAGGTATTAAGTTATTGCGTTATCTTGACAAAACTATTTAGAATTCAATATGTATTTGAAATTTTTTTATCTTAATACACCTTTTCCAACAATATATTTTTTGAAATTCCTGATGTTGGCATAGTTGCTAAAACTGGGGCTACGTTTAATAAGAATATGTTATAATAGAATAATTAAACTATTGATTTATTGATATTTAGATTTCTAACGTAAACAAATATCAAGATAAACTTTTTTACAACTTGATTATTACAAACTTATAACGTATTTTGATAACTATTATAGAAAGTGTTAAAGCATAAAAGCCAGTTTCTAGTCGAAATGAAAGAAGATTTTACACCTTGTATAGGATGATGAATATGGGTTTTATCGACAATTTCAGACGCCTTTATATCCCTGTTACTCCCGTATGACTTGAAATGTTTTTAAACCATCTTCTTTGCTTGGTAAGCGCCTGTTAGAAACGCATCGATGCGTGTACTGTTACCGTTATAGAATATATTACTATATTCTTCATTGATAAACATAAATTTAGTAAAAAGGAACCTCAAATTTATTTCCGTACCAACACCGATAATAATTGGTAAATAAAGTGTTGTTTTTTCTATGTGTTACTAATATCTCTAAATATAAGAAGAGTTTGTACACAATGTGACAATATATTATCGTCTAACCTTAATTTGTGTGT